TTATTTGTTGGGATATGTTGTGGTTTTTTTATTTGGGAGTATTTTTAGGGTGGTAGTAAGGATAGGGGTTAGAATGAATTGAGTAGATTGAGGGGGGGTGGTTTGAGTTGAGTGGTGGGTAAGTTAATTGGAGGGGGGTAGAGTTTAGTTTTTTGGATTAGGGTCTCTATTTTGATAGGTTTGGGAAGGGGGTGTTTAATAAGTTTTGGGGTTTTAGGTTGATATTTTAAGTATTGGTTTTACAATTATGTTGGTTATTAAGTGAAATTTTTGATGGGTGTGAGGGATATAGTGGAGAGGAGAGAGGGGGGAGTTATGGGAGGTGTTTTAAGTGGTTTGGTTTTGAATGGGGGGTTAGTGTTTTTAGTGGGTTTAGGGTGGTGGTGTGGTTTTTAGTGTATGTGAGAAAAAAAATTGTAGATGGGAAGATTGGTGTTGGGGAATTGGTAGGTGTTTTTTTATGAAAAGGTATGAGGAGTTTATGGGTATTTGAGTTGAGATAGTTGAGTGAAGTGAGTAGGGTAGTTTAGTATATAGGTTATTTTGTGTAGGTGTTGGAAGGTGTATTGTAGTGAGTTTATTTGTTTGTTTTAGGTGGAAGGGGTTTAGGGGATGGGGGGGGTAATTGGTAAGGGTTGGTAGTGTTGTTATGAGGAGGGGGATTAAATGATTTTTGGGGTGGAGGAAATAGAAGTGGGGAAAAATTGGTGTGGGATATTTTGATGGATGGGGAAATTGGTGTGTTGAGTGTCAGATAGATGGTGTAGTGCACTTGGTCAAGTCCGGTGGCCGAGTGTTATGCGCGTCTGGTTTGCAACCATAAGGTCACGGGTTCGAATCCCCTTAGAGGCGGGCCTCCTCGCGTTATACTCAGCCCACGCGCCACTGGTGGTCATCGCGCGGCAGTGAAGCGTCGTAACGGCGTACAGCTGGTGATTTATTTTTTATTATTTTATTATCTAGTCCTGGTTGATATTTTCATGGGCCAGTTGGAGAAAACCGCACTACGTGATAACACACAAAATGTGCATTTTTGCTGTAGATACCTTGACGACACGTACGTTGTGGTTGATACTGCTCTGCAAGCAAAGCACCTACTCGATGTTCTAAACGAATGCCACTCTGCAGTGAAATTTACGATAAAAAGTGAAATGAATAAGACGTTCCATTTCCTGGATGTAAAAGTAGAGTGGAATCTAGACAGTACGTTCGCTTGATCCGTGTATCGCAAGCCTACTTGGACAGGACAGTAATTAAACATTAGTATGTTTTGTTTTATAAACTATAAACGAGCATTGGTTCGCAATACCTGTAGTAGAGCTCGTAAAATTTGCTCCAAAGATTAATATACCACATGAAAACGGATAACTTGAGAGATTTGCGGCACGATACGCAAACACAAGAGAAAAGAAAAAAGACTGACGTCCCCAAGGAAAAAGTGTTTATTACGCCACCGTTTAAAGGGGACAAAAATGATAGCAGATTCCGGCACCGTCTCCGCCACATGATAAAGTAGTGTAATTATGCGGCCGAACTTGTGCTATTACACCAAGTTAGGAAGCTGTTATGTAAATCCAACCGTAACAATCCAGACCCTCTAGTTGTCATCACATGTATTTACCTCTTTCATTGTAATTATGATAGCAAATACCTGAGCCGAGCTGAGAGAAGGCTGTCACTCAGGATTTCAGAGCACATTCCACGTAATGTGGTTGCGAACGGTCCGAAGCTGCCGGCAAGCTCCAATGCCCAGCACATCCTGGACTGCTGCAAATGTCAAAGTCTCCGTGAAATAAACAAGTATTAAAATACAGTCCTTTGGTGGATGAAGTCAGTCTCATCAACTGCAAATCCAGTTACGCACATTTGCGGCTACCTAATAGTAGAGAAGGAAATTTCGCTATCAGTCGCGTGGTCCTTCGAGGCGACGTTCCCAATTATCTGCTGAAACCCGGGAGGCAACA